AGAGTGATAAAAAGAATTTCATAAATACATCATTTTCTACATATTTTTTCTTACGGTAAAAAAAATATGTTTTTATTAGTTACCACACTATTTCGATAAATTACGATAATTCATGGGCGTAGAATCAAGGTCTGAGAGAACAATTTTAATCCAAACTTTTTGAACTCACATTTAATAAAAGTTAAGATTAATAATTATTATTCCTCACGCAATTTGTCACAAAAGGGTTGATCTCTGTAGAACATTCCATTTTCAAGATTTTTTAATTTCATTCCTATTCGAATATGAAATTTTTTTTTGAATACTTTCATTTTAAATAAATAACATTAACAATTTTGGTAAACTGAGTTTAAAATTTTAATATTCGCGTTTGAATAATTTTACTTATATCCCTTTTCCCATTATTAATATCCCTTTTCCCAGGTGTACAGGATGAGTTTAGAAGTATCGTGGCAGATTTAACTCAATTTTGAATATTTTCGACTTATACCCCTTTACCCCCCCTCCCCTCAAGTGCCAATTATGCGTACCTACAGAATTAAAAACTAATTTATTGATATTTCTAATGTGCGGCACCATATTGTCCCCCTCAATAATCAACTCTGTATGCCACTGTTAAACGTGAATCAATTATTTTTTTCTACAAATAGAACTACAAATTTAGTAAAATAATCTTAAGTAATAAAAAAGTTATAACCAATAAATAATTATTTTTCAATTTTTAACTTTATCACCCTGTAAGTAGTTCGAAATCAGAAAAACGTAAATGAATCAAATTTTTAATATTGTACATTTTGTCAAATTTCTCGAATACGGATCATTTTTGGAAAATTTTGTATAGAACAAAAATTGTAGATAATTATATAAGAAGTAACTTTTATTTGAAGAATTTTCTTCTCCAAACGTAAATAACAGATATATTCCATAAAATATACAAATGACCCTCTATAAATTACCTTCCAGATGTTCTGCATCTGCCAAAAATCCCCCGACCGTTATTTTTATATTCTTAGAAGAACCGCTAAATCAGTCTGTGATTTTTAACTTTTCTTTGAGATTATTATTTTTTAAATTGTAAAAGCGGACTGCGCGCTGTTGCCGCATCGACCAAAAGTCTTTGATTCTGGCGATTTTAAAATTTCGACTATTTAAAAGGAGTCTAATTTAGATCCTATTCAACAATATTTATTACACTTTTAAACGGTTTAACTTCTGATTATAATATAGATAATTCTTTATGTACTTTACGTAATCATTAAATAATTGGACTAATTCTGTATATAGTAAAGAAATCTTTATTATCGCTATCACTGAAATAATGCATGCGGCTTTACATAATAAAATGTTTTTGGTTAATAATAATTAACAATAATTCAGTTAAATATTACTGATAAGGCGTTTGATTATACTGTGATCAAGTGTAATCGGTCACTCAGTTTGTACGCATTCATAGGTTTAAATGTCACTTTAACCTTGTGCATTCCTTGGTTGAAAATTAGACTAGAAGACTAAGAAGTAATACTCGGTATAGGCATCTTTATTTAAGGTAATTAATATATATTTTTTTTATATATATATATATAATGTAAAATAGATAACATTTCCTGTCTTGATTAGATTAAGACCTAATTAAGTTATAGAATTTTTATTCTATTTCAAAAGCTTTTAATACTTTTTTTTATTATTATCAGTACCCACATTTTAAACTTTTAAGTTTTTAGAAATATAATAATTTAGATTTAATATATTATTCTTTTTTTTTGTGAAAACATTACTGAATTTATTTAAAGTTAATTGAAGAAATGTTAAAACTGTTTCGAGGTAATAGAACCTTAAAAGAAATTCTATAGATTTCCGTATGAATTTTATACCCATTCTCTTACACATAGGTAGGTTGTATAATATGTTTAATATCATAAGGACGTTGACTTTAAAATTTGATTGAAATAGGATGTTTACGAAGTTATGCAAATGTATGCATACAAGTCACAAGTTATTCTCATTTTTTTAACCATTTAGGAACTTGAGTTCAAATTTATATATACAGCGTGGTGCAAGAAATAAATTTAAACATTCTGTGAGATATTCCTTTTATTAGTGAGGTCATCTGTGTGCAAGGGTGGATCCAAAACCTTTACGAAAGGGTAGGGGACAGTTTGCTGCCAGTGAATCTGTTGCGTAAGCATTGTTATTACAGTCTGTTCGCAATACTTACGCGGGTTTCGGATTAACAAAATTATGCAAATTATTCATTGACAACCAGTTCCAATAAGCCTCTTCCCAAGAAATTAGGTAGGTCAGATTTAAATTAAAATAACATTAGGGTAGTTACTAAATTTGTTACAAATATTACAGTTGAATTGATTCTTTGCAAATGTTGACATTGTATGTATATTGAAAATTTAGTGGACATTTTAAAAATGCCTAGACGTGTGTTAGATGTAAGTAGTCTAAGTGTACATAAGTATTTCACGGATGAAAAATAAAATGGCGGTCCTTTAAAATCGGTATTGTCTGTACAATAACGCGTATGCGATGCTCTAGGAATTAGTGAAACCAAATTAAGAGGAGTATTACAAAATCACAATAGTGAACTGCCGAAAGAAGATCACCCCAAAACTCGCCCATCATTGAATACGAAAGATATTCCAGATGGAAAGAAATTTGAAATTCGTGATACTATTTATCGAATGAGGGCCAACAAGGAACATGTGACCTTAAATACAATTCTCTCGGAATTAATAGATAGAAAATTTGACGACATTGGCAGAACAAGTCTATGGCAAGTGATACATAACTTGGGTTTCAAATTTCAAAAGGAGGATAACAGAAAGGCCCTTTGTGAAAGAAGTTCTGTCGTGTTTCTAAGAAAATATTCTAAATTTAAAGAAGAAGAGGCGAATTTTATAATTTTAAACGAAACATGGATATTTTCTAGGAGTGCAACCAAGAGAATATGGCAAGATGATAACGTAAAGTCCATCAAACATACCGATGAAGAAGGGAAGCGACACATAATTTTACATGCAGGAGGGAAATTGGGTTTTATAGAAAGTGCTGGTTTAATATTTTCATCTAAATCAAAATCCAGTGACTATCACGATAAAATGAACACAGAAATGTTTGTAAAATGGTTGCATGAAAAACTTCTCCCAAGTTTAAGTGAGCCCAGCGTAATTATTTTCTGAAGTATTAAACAAAAGTCCAACTATTGATAAAATTAAAGAATGGTTGACAAAGGCTAACATTTTAGGACGTTGAAAAGTCAAACATTAAAATATGAACCTAAATATTAGGTTTGTTCCAACAACAATCTTGGAACCATACACAAACCGTCCACAACTTATTGTCGACGACTAATAGTCGACGACCAGTCCTCGACCTGTCAATGATTAGGACTGAATTCGTAACTTGGTTGTGTTGGAACACATGTTTTTATTGTCAGACACCAATAACGTAAAAGTAAAAAAAAATTAACAGATGTTAAATTTTGAATTTGGTAAATAAAAAAATTATAAAACTCATTAAAAGATTTATAAATTTCGATTATTCGATTGGTTAGTACTTATATTAACTTATTTTATTTTTTACTGTATGTAAGCCAGAATAATAGTCCATTTCACTTTCTACACTCATTACTCATAAAATAATATTCTATAAAAATAATGAATAAAAACCAAATTTCGATCGATACTATCAAAACTAATAATTACTTTAAGCACTATTGCGTAAAGTGAATAGCTGAAATGTTAATTTTTCACCTAATTTTTGTGGTAGTAGAAAAAATGTTGCATGTAACACGTATGTAAAGATCTTATTTTACTCATGGACTCGTGCAAAATAATCTCCATTCGTAAAAAAATGTTACTTTACACACTTGCTGCATAAATAACTATTTTGTAAGCGGTGCAATACTACCTTGATTGGGTACATTTAAATAAAATTTATTATTAAGTTTACATCCTATACCTTCCATCAAATTAATTGCTTACCTGGATCTGAAATCTCTACAGGTGAGGTTGGGAGAGTTTTGTTCCTTTCCCTTTCAATACATTCCTGAACCATTCTTCTATTTCTCGCACTCATTTTTTTAAACACTATTAGTTTTTGACTCACAGTTTTTTATTTTTAAACAAGAGCACGACAAAAAGATCAATAAGTAAACGTAAACAAAACTAACGATAATGCAGGATTCAACTTGAGAAAATCGGCCTGCATTGCAAAAGAATGGGTGGGAGTGGACTTAATACTTGTAGCTTTAATGTAGCATGTGGACATAATACTATTTCAGCGACTTTATACTGTTTTGCTCTGTAAACTGTATGTGATGTTGTGGACTTAAAACATGTGAAAGTAGTTAATACTCTTCTGCTCTCATTACTATGTGGACTTAATACCATTTTTAAAATGCTATTTCAGAAGCCTTTAGTCCAAGGGCTCTGAACTTTTGCCAGCTGATTAAGCGCGAAATGTAATTTAAATCAAAAAAGCGGAAAATCAAAATTTTGGACTTAATACCCTTCTGCTCTGAGGTACAGATATAATTACGACATTTCCAGAGTTGGTCGTGATTTATTTACGAGCTCACTTTCATTTTGCGCATGTCTTGACAATTCGTTTTAGGTTTGTTCCAACACAATAGCAAATCGGTTTACGTACGGTCGGGATTCTGCGCAGTCTAGATTTGATGTTCCAACAAACCTCGGACTCAACCTATATGACTTGAATATTAAAATGTCAGCAAATGTGCTTGTTGACAGTTGTGAGAATCACATCAAAGACCCAGGAGAAAGAAAAATTAATAGAAAAAATGGTTCATGCTGGCTTCAAGCAAATCCAGACCGTTGGTTATCTATTATTCATTTGTTTTATCTGAGGTATCACTTAGCTTGAATCGCGAATAAGGGTTTAGCATTTTTGACAAATGGCTCGACTCTTTTTTTGGTTGCGGCTCCTATTCAGCACCCACACATATTCTACAAAATAAGTTTTATTTTTAGAAAGTCGGAATCACTACCTTAAATAAAAGAAAATGACTTCACCATTCCCGCCAAAATTCACATATCCATTCAAGCGACCTTGGTTACAGAACTATGGAGCTGCTGCCCCAGCTGATGGAAACATCGGGCTCAAAGGAATTGTAGCTGGTAAATAAATATTTTATTTACATTAAAACAAAAAAAAAACTAAAAAGCTATTTTTAAATCATTAATACCATAAGAAACTATTTTTATAACATGGGTCTAAGCTTTGAAATGTTCTTAAACATATAGCATTTTTTTGTTTAATCTCTAGGTGGTATTACTGGCGGTATAGAAATATGTATTACCTTTCCCACTGAGTACGTAAAAACGCAGCTTCAATTAGACGAAAAAGGAGACAAAAAAAAGTACAATGGTATAGCGGATTGTGTAAAGAAAACTGTGAAAGGCCACGGTTTCTTCGGTCTCTACAGAGGACTTAGCGTATTGTTGTATGGTTCGATACCAAAAAGCGCTGTAAGGTGAGTAAAATCAATAGACACTAATTACGGTCAATACGAGGACTGTTACTAACATTTCAAATTAGGTTTCTTATTTTATCTATTTATTTTTTAGTCACTAGAAAGTGATATTTACTGTTACACACATTATACCTGCACATCTGTCATTTGTCATATGTAATTTGTCATATAAGTAATTTGAGGACCCTGGGGCAAGAGTAGTCTATGTAACATAAACTTACTTTTGAGATATGGAACATTTTAAATTTTATATTGCTATAAAACAAATTTAAAATCATTTAACATTCTGTAAATAAATACTTTAATAATTAAAAATATAATTAAAGTATTTATTTACAGAATGATAAATGTTTTTAATTTGTTTTATAGTATTATAAAACCTAAAATGTTCCATATATCAAAAGTTTATGTTACATAGACTTCTGTTACATTTGTCATATGTACTTTTTCATATGTAATTTGTCAAATGTCATTTTCATTTGTCAAATGTCATTTTCATTTGTCATTTGTCAAATGGCATTTGTCATCTACCGGAGTATATAGAGGACCGTTTTATGTTATAGATTCGGTTCCTTTGAAACGTTTAAGAGCCAGATGACAAAGGCGGACGGTACACTCAGTCCTTCTGGAAGATTATTATGCGGTTTGGGGGCTGGCGTGTGTGAAGCCATTTTCGCAGTGACGCCCATGGAAACCGTCAAAGTTAAATTCATTAACGATCAGCGATCGCAGAATCCAAGGTTTAAGGGATTTTTCCATGGAGTAGGGATAATTGTTAAAGAACAAGGTAGATTCTGCTTTAATATTTGTTAGATATCCTTACAGGATAAATGTTTATTGTTTGTAGGTTTTGGAGGCGTGTATAAAGGCGTAACAGCGACCATAATGAAACAAGGTTCCAATCAGGCTATTAGATTTTTCGTTATGGAAACGTTGAAAGATGCTTATAAAGGTGGCGATAAGGATAAGAAGGTTCCTAAAATGGTTGTAGGTGCATTCGGTGCCGTTGCAGGTTAGTAATTTTTTTTATCTACGAATACGTATTATTTTTACTGTTTAAACGAGTACTGGTACATATATGTTCCATATGTCATTATGGGTTGTCTGACGTTGTATTAGTAATAATTTATGAATATCTTAACAATTTTCCTGATTAGTACACATGTACACCACAAAATTGTTGGTGGTACAAATATATACCATGACATTATAGATCAACATATACTAATTTGTGGATATTTCAGCATTCTCCTTAGGTGGTACTACAAAATATGTTGTTGGTACAAATATATACCATCTTATTATGGATTATCTACCCGTTGTATTGATTATTAAAATAATCTATTAATATTTTAGCCTTTTCACTTGGTGGTACCATAAAAAATGTTACAAAACGTACCACCAATTTTCATAAAAAAGGTTTTGAGATTTTAATGTTTTTTATAGCAAATTATTCTTATAACCAATAAAAAACCAATTTAAAAATAATTAAAAAGTCTTGACTGTTAAAGGCTTTAAAGCACAATTAATGGGAAAGTCAATTTTTTTACTACAAAAACGTATTATTTTTACCGTTCAACGGGTGCTGGTACATATATGTACCATAGATTATTATGCATCGTCTAACAGCTGTATTAATAATAGTTTGATTATTTTCTTAATTGGTACACATGTGTACCACAAATGGTTGGCGGTACATGACATTATGGATCAAAAACCTGTTGTATTGATTATAGTATTTCGCGAATATTTCACTATTTTCCTTGTCTGGTACACATACATACCACAAAATTTGTTGGTACAAATATGTACCATCTTATTATGAATCACCTACCCGTTGTATTGATTATTTTAATAATTTATGAATATTTTAGCCTTTTTCGTGGGTGGTACACATGCGTACCATAATTTTTTTTGCGCAAAATAAAAATCTGACTGTATATTTATTATAAATTCAGTTTTTGTTATATAATTTTGAGTTCTGCCAATATTACTACACAAGTTGGATTCATCTCGTCTTGTCTTCACATTTTAAGGGGTGAGGATAAAAGTTTGTATGGGAAAATAAATAAAAAATAATTAAAAATAAATAAAAAAAACAAATAAAAAATAATTAGAAAAAATAAAAATAAATGAAACAAATAAAAATGAATCAAAATGAATAAAACTAAACAAATCAAAATAAATAAAAATAAACAAAGTAAATAAAAATACAGTAAAGTAAATAAGAGTAAATAGGAGTAAATAAGAGTAAATAAGAGTAAATAAGAGTAAGAGTAAATAAGAGTAATTAAGAGTAAATAAGAGTAAATAAGAGCAAATAAGAATTAATAAGAGTAAGAGTAAATAAAAGTAAATAAGAGCAAATTAAAGTAAATAACAAGATGAACCAAAAGTTTTGTTCATGAAGTTTAAAAAAAAACAATTAATGTATCCTTATATTAGGTGCAAGAACTTTTACCCGTGGATCCTGCAATGCGTATAGTGTTTTGTAATTTTATTGAAAATATTTATTGACTCAATTTTTTTCTCCATTTCCCTCCCATGTTATATAATTCCTTATCAAACCATCATATATCCTCTTTCTATATATTTTTTGTTTTTTTTTTTCAGAAAAATTTGCATAAAATTTGTTAATAAACGTTTCAAACAAACTATTAAACATCTTCAGCATTTAAAATTGACTTTACAAGTTCTCAATCAAAATGTATCAAGTCTTCTTTAAAATGCATACAATCTCTGTTAATTTATCTACTTTGTTATTTAAATAATACTCCAATTAACCTTTGATTTTCTTTATTCAAACTGTATGTTTTACAACAAATACAAAAACCAACAACGACCATTGTCTTACAACTAGGGATGTCGTTTTGAGATCGATTAATCGGAAGATCGATCTTTTTTAGTAGAAAAATCGATTTTTTGAATCAATTCGAGAGCGTAGAATCGATCCGGAGATCGATTCAACTACTCAGCGAATCGAAGCCGATTTTTTCTAAGATTTTTCTACTTTATTTAAGATTTTTACGATTCAGTATTCGTTCTAACCTGTTATGATGCTGTACGTAAATCCTAAACGGTAAGAGGCCAATAATTAATGACAAATGACAAGTAAGAAGAAAAAAAGCAGAAAATAAATTAACCTAACCTGACCTAAACTCCATTTTTATTGCACGCACGCCGCACGGGAATTTTGTTTCGGCATTTTTGGTGGTTTTTGTTTTCATTTTGAGGAAAAATCAAATCGTAAACAATAAACAATTTTTTTACAAGCTAAATAAAAAAAAAATCAAAAAATCGATTTTTCATAGATCGATTTTAATATTAACGATCTTTTAGTGGATCGATTTTTAAAAGCGCGATCTAGATAAATCCAAAAATCGATATTTTTTTTTTTTTTTTTGAAAAATCGACATTCCTACTTACAACTAGTTATCGGAAACACGTATTTTGACATCAATCAATATTTTGACGTACAGTAGTACCAATCAACAAAAACTAAATATAACTAAGGGTGCGTTCACTTAAAAATAATGATACTAAATTATATTTCAACAATCTCCTATCTGTTGTTGTATTCAATTCACTATTCTTGCATACGATTTGCAGGTGCGGCCTCAGTATACGGGAATACCCCAATAGACGTAGTAAAAACCCGGATGCAAGGTCTGGAAGCGTCCAAATACAAAAACACTTTAGACTGCGCCGTGCAGATATTCAAAAACGAGGGCCCGGCCGCTTTCTACAAAGGCACCGTACCCAGATTGGGCAGGGTGTGCTTAGACGTCGCCATTACGTTCATGATTTACGATTCGTTCATGGAACTGTTCAATAAGATTTGGTAGGGTAACGGATTCGGGCAATTGGATCAATCTGAAGAGGTGTGATGGACCGAAAATAAATAAAAGTAGAAATGACAAAACATAAGAGTATATTTATATATGTTGTATGCTAGTTTATTTGGTATAAATTTTTATTTTAAACGTTTTTAAGAGATAGTTTTTGAAATAATTTCAAAAAAAAATATGGGTGCATTTTATATTTTAGACGACATTGCATTCCATACTGCATTTATCTCTGTATGTAATTAGAACTGCCAAAATGTATAACTATTTTTATATTTTTCGCGAAATTATGTAATAATCGTCTTTTTAACGTGTCTATTTACAGGTTGGCCCCTTTTTTAAAATATATTTCTATCAGTGGCCGCCCTGTATATTTATTTTATATATTTTTTCATTTTACAGTATGACATCGTTGTGTAATTTTATTTTTTTCGGTGTGGTTGGTTGTTTTTAACTTAGCTATATGTATTTTATTAAAATTGTTACAATTTTTTGTTATTGATTTTAAATATTTATGTGAGTATTTTTTTGTTATATACAAACTATGAGAAATAAAAGTTTCAATAGTGCGATCTTGTTTCCCTTATCCATAACCCTAACAGTTTCTTATTACGGAAACAATAAAATAAATCAAAGTTCCATTGAGAACATGTAATCGTTTTGTTGTGAAGATCATTTTGAGGTGAGTTAATTTTAAATTAATTACTAAAGTAGTATTTTTAGTCGTACTAGTACACATGCTTACTTACAGGGTTTGCTACTGCTAAATTCAAATGTCTTTTAATTAAAAATCTATAAAATTCATTTTAATAGAGAGAGAAAGATATGCTTTATTGTCGTAGAAAAATTTACAAAAATTTTATAGACAAAGCGTGTAACTTAAATACTAAACATATTATAAAAATAACTAAACAGCAGAAAAAACAAACAGAAACAAACAGACAAAATAGGAATAACAATTGCAATGGATATGCAATATCTGTCATTATAATTATTCTAATTTAATTTTTAAATTTAAACTTTAATATTTAATTAATGCCATTGTATGTGGAACTCAAATGTCTAAGGTACGTTATAAAATTCTGCTACTGTGTAATATGGTCTTTCTAGAAGAAAAGCTTTAGCCAGTCTTCGGAACTTATCGTATGTATTTATAGATTTTAATTGCATCGGAAGGTTATTATACAATTTTTTGGCATTGTAGGTAATGGAATGTTTTAATAGGTCAGAAGTGGGCATTGTTAAATAAACATCAGTCTCTAAATTTCTTGTAGGATATCTACGAGTCAGTCTTTCGGATAAATTTTGAATGTGCTTGCGAACTAAGCAGACGGATTCGAAAATAAATAGAGCAGGAAGGGTTAGAATTTTGAAATTTTTGAAGTAATTTTCGCAATGTGTCCTACTACTTAAACCAAATACATAGCGGATTGCTCTTTTTTGCAGTTTAAAAATAGATTCGAAAAGGTATAAGCTACAAGAACCCCAGAAAGGTAAACCATAGCGAAGGTGAGATTCGAATAAGGAAAAGTAGGTTATTAATGCAGTAGAAGGAGTCAGCTCTTTAGAAACCGATTTAATGGCAAAACATGCGGAGGATAATTTTTTTGCTAAGGTATCTATATGAGCAGACCATTTTAGAGAATCGTCTATATAAAGACCTTGATTGAAGTCACCGTTTGGATCAGATTATTGTTTAAAGTTATAGGTTGTAAAGTACCTCTGTAAGACAATGCTACAGTTTTACTGGTGTTGAAACAAAGTCCATTCGAATCAGACCAGGACTTAATAGTCACTAGATCTTCACTTATGATAGATTGTAATGTCTGCATGTTAGAATTATTCCAGGTTACACTGGTGTCATCAGCAAATAAAGTAATTCTAGCACTTATTCTTAAGTCTGTGATGTCGTTGATGAATAATAAAAACAAAATTGGACCTAATACTGATCCTTGAGGTACTCCACTGCTTATTGCTAGATTTGTAGAATCCACCATTCGCCCGCACCTGTTGATTTCTATTTTCTAGGTAAGTTTTAAACCATTGTAAAGGAGAACCCCGTATGCCATAAATTTGTAACTTATTAATTAAAATATCATGATTTATACAATCGAAGGCCTTTGCGAAGTCACAAAATACTGAAGCGGTGAAAAGTTTATCATTAAGTGATGTGTATATTTCATTAAGAACGGAAAACATTGCGTCGCTAGTGCATTTTTTAGGTAGAAAGCCATACTGATGAGCTTGAAAAGAAAGGGCAAAAGACGGTTTTTCATTAGCCGTTCTACTGTCTTCGATAAGGTAGGCAATAACGCGATAGGTCTATAGTTACAGGTTTTGGTTTTGTCGCCACCTTTATGAAGTGGGATTATTATAGCTGTTTTTAGACAGTTAGGAAAGAGACCAATTTCAAAGGATTCATTAATCAGTGAAGTTAAAATGTTGATTACTACATCCGGTATATTTAGAAATATTTTGGTGGACAGGCCATCAATTCCACAGGAAAATTTATTTTGTATGTTGTTTATGGTTTGCACTAGTTCATGCTTGTCTACTGGTCTTAGGAAGAAACTTTCAGTGGTCCTTTTAGTAGGTAGGAGGAAGGAGAGAGCATCCTGACTCGGAGCTATGTTAGATTTGATATTTTTACTTACATTTACGAAATAATTGTTTAGTTCATCTGGGCTAGGATTTACACTGTTTGAAGAACGGGTTTTATTCCTTAAGTCATTTATTATAGACCAGGTTTCTTTGGAGGAGTTTTTAGCTCTTGCGATGCGATTTTTGTAATAGTTTTTCTTAGCAGATTTGGTGATTTTCCGATACAATATTCTGTAGTTGTTGATATAGTTTAATATTAGGGGATTATCTGTGTACTTTTTAATATACATGAGTGACCTCATATTTTTAGATGATGTTCTTATTCCTTTAGTTGTCCAAGATTTATGACATTTAGTTTTAATGGGGCGAAGGGGGAAAGCTGTATTGAAACATAGTTAGTTTATTAAATTATTACCTAATAAATATTTCCTTACAATAATAAAGCAATACAAAATATAATATAGAAATATGTAAATAAAAAGGCATTAAGTTATAGAGATTACGATATTGAAAAAAAGACTCACCATAAAAACCATGCTTCTTTCTTTTCATCCTGCTAATGGCTAGTCCATTTTACTCCAGATTTTACCCATTATTCGATCTACATCCCGACATTTTCTTACACTCAGGAAATCTTCTGAGCCCGGCGACGTCATTTCATTCCAACATCAACAATCATTCTATCATTTCCTATCTCTAATACAGCCCCTAGATACTCTACAATTTATTAACATACCAAAATCTTATTACAAAAAAAAAACAACAAGAATTTGAAGTTTGTATTTGTGATTGATTCAAGTAAGTTTAATTATAATTATATACGATATCACCGGGCAATATTGCAGAGCAGCCTCGTCCATTTGATCCAAGAATTTACATCAGAAATTAATTATTATAGAGCTAAAACTCTTAGTATTAAATACTAAAAGATGTAACCCCTTAATAAATGATTTCAAAGGACATAAATAGCTTGAATCAAACGTCTTTATTGTCAGACAGAAAGGGAATGATCTCAAACAAAATCGTTGATGTAAATATAAAAACATTAAGCTTTTATAAATAAATAACATCAACGATACCAAACACTCAAAAAACTATAGCAAAAATTTAAAAGTTTCCTTTCAATCATTAATCGTTTTAAAAATATTTAGTTTTATACATTTTTTTGAATTTTACGAATTTATTTAGGTACTGTTTCTTATATTTCTGAAATGTGTTTGTGCTGTATGTAGGGTTGCCAACCGTCCTGCATTTCGATGGACGTCCCCCATTTGGGGTGCTTTGTCCAGTGTCCTGTAGCAATCTATTGCAGGACGCTTATTGTACTTAATTTCAGTGTTTCAAATAATATCTCTAATTTCTTATATTTTATAGTCACATTGGAAAATTAAAAATAGCTGCAAATAGTGAAAAAATACGCAGTGACACCGTTAAGTAGCTGTAACTTTTTATTTTCTTTTTAAATAAGATGTTTAATCATTAGTTCCTATTTACCCACAAAATCTTTGTTTTTTTTATCACTTTTTGTCAAATTGTTTATTTAAATTTATTGTTTTTATGCAATAATAAAAATCTGATGTGTCCAACACATGACTTTCCTATCTAGTTATTATAGGCTTTTTCCGGTTATTTTGTACAACCTATTACAGCATCTCTATAAATGTTTAGAGGATAAACTAAATATATACATTGTCCACATACATCTACCTCGAAACATTTTTCTATAGATATTCATGGAAAACGAAAATACTGAAAAATTTAAATTTCCTTCAATTTTTTCATTACGGTCCATTTTAGAAAAATCATGCATAAACAAAAATTATAGAGATCGATATCGCAAACAACTTTTATTTTAAAAACTTTCATAAAAATCAGAATTTTGCACATTTTGTCAAATTTCTCGAATACGGACCATTTCAGGAAATTTCTACATTTAACAAAAATTATAGATAATAATATTAGAAGTAACTTTTATTTGAACAATTTTTTTCTCCAAACATTAATAACAGATATATTCCATAAAATATAAAAGTGGCCTCCCATAAAGTACCCCCCCAGATGTTCCGACTATGTCCAAAATCTAATCATTTCACGTCAGGCCGAAATAAACCTTAAGTTTAAAATTTAATGTTTTTTTCTTTATCCGTTTTTGAGTTTTCTTCAAAATTCGAAATTTATACATTTTCTCAAATATCTCGAATACGGTCCATTTTAGAGAAATTATGTATAAAATAAAAATTATAGAGAATTATATTACAAACAACTTTTATTTGAACAATTTTTATAAAAAATTATTTTTTTTTTACATTTTGTCCAATTTCTCGAATACGGACCATTTTAGGAAAATTTTGTATTGAACAAAAATTATAGATAATTATATTAGAAGTAACTTTTATTTAAAGAATTTTCTTCTCCAAACGTAAATAACAGATATATTCCATAAAATATAAAAATGACCACCTATAAAGTACCCCCCCAGATGTTCCGACTCTGCCCAAAATCTAATCAGCTCATTGGACGCTGAAACAAACCTTAAGTTTAAAATTTGGTGTTTTTCTGTGTATCGGTTCATGAGTTATGCGTTATACAGACACACACACACACACACCACCACACCACACACACACACACCACACACACACACACACACACACACACACACACACACAGACACAGACACAGACACAGACACAGACACAGACACAGACACAGACACAGACACAGACACACACACACACACACACACACACACACACACACACACACACACACACACACACACACACACACATACACACACACACACATACACACACACACACACATACACACACACACACATACACACACACACACATACACACACACACACATACACACACACACACACACACACATACACACACACACACACACATCATCGCGAAAATAGTCAAAACGGATTCAGGGGACCTCAAAACGTAAAAATCCGTCGAAAACTCGAGGTCGAAAAAAATCATGATTCCTATACTTTCCTTATATCTGTATACAGATAGGAAAGTAAAAATGTCCAGAATTTATACCATATGTCCTGAATTTTGATTAGCCTCATCCAGAAAAATTAAAAAACAAAGTTGGCAACCCTAGCTATGGGGTATGAAGCGTACATATAGTAAT